TTGGTAACTTGAAATTGACGAAGGAATCTGGATTGATATATTACTTAACAAATATGTGAGTGGCAAATGCATTTCTGGCATTAGAAAAAAAAACAGAAGATTCTCAGTTTTGGGGCAGCCTCCTGCAGTTTAAAAATCTTTATTATCAACATATTAAGAAGCGGTTGGGTGATGGGAGGCACACTAGGTTTTGGAAAGATTGGTGGGTAGGTTCCAAACCTCTAAAGAAGGCCTATCCTAGCTTATACAACCGGATAGTTTACTGATTTATTTTGCAGATAAAGAACCCAGAGCAAAGCTACTGATGCTAGGGGAAAATAATCAAGCGGGTGGCAAATGAAATCTATCACGCGTCGCAGGGCTGGAGACCAGGAGTGCAAAGATTGGAAAACTGGAAAAAAAAGATAGGTGATATTTCCTTCATCTATCGTGGCGATGATGGATGTGAGCTACCTATGTATCTTACCTTCTTCAGCGTTTTATGTCTAATGCGTCTGCTGCTTTCGTCTAGACTTTGTTTATTGCTTTCAATCCGCAGGTTGCGCCCCCGTCGTGTGTGGATTATGTTCTGTTATGTCGTCTAAACCTTTGCACTTATCTAGCTTCTGGTAGATTAAGTATGTTCTAGCCTAGATTTGTGATGCTCTCTTCGTCGAAAAAAACTTGTCCCAAGCTTGTGCCGGATACATTCATTTGAGAGACAAACTTTTTCGGACGGAGGAAGTATATGATGTGCTTTTGATGGTTTCGTTAATAAAATCGAAGGGACCCCTCTTTTGATTAAAAAAGAAAAAGAAAATCGATTGAAAGTGTTTCATAAAAAAAAGGTCACACAAGAGTCCCCAACGGGTCATCTCTGATCAGACCCTGGGTCCCCGACCCCTTTGTCAACACGAACAAACGCGACAGGGAGGGGAAAAAAAATCTTATACGACCGGGTCAGGGAGAGAGAGGAGAGCAGAGAGGGGAAGGCGATGGGGGCGGCGAAGAGAAGCGGGGGTGAGAAGGGGCTCCTCTGGAGGCTGCCGGAGGTCACCTCAAGGGAGCTCGGCAAGATCGGCCCCGCCTTCGGGCTCGGCATCGGCTGCGGCGCCGGCGCCGGAGTCGGCTTCTTCGGCGGTAAAACCCTCCTCCTCCTCCTCCTCCCCCTTCCTGTACAGTCCAACCTTCGTTTTGTGCTCCTTTCTCCTGCTCCTTGTTTCCGCGTTACCCTGCGCTCTTGACGGGCTGATTGATTCGGCGGGTTGTGCTACTTGAGCGCCATATGCTTCCCGTGCCCTGCTTTCTGTCTCGTTGGTTGATTGGATGGTTATTGCCAGGTTCAGATGCTCCTGTCCTCCACGGTTCAAAAATATTGCTAATTGCTAGTAGTTCTGTTCAGATTATAATTCGTTTTGAAGTTAGCCAGGATGGGGTTTAATAGAGCAGGGCTAGGGTTTGCTCTAGGACTCATCTGGTTAGAGCAGCCTCATTAGGGAGGCATATATATATATAGGCATATGACACAAATTTCTTAATGGGGATGTTTACACAGATTGGGATAATTTTGTTTTAATGCATCGGCTGTAATTTTAGATACTTATGGCTTGTCAAGTGGTATAACAACATTGGCCTTGGATGTATGACAATTTGGCTTCCAACGGTTTAGCCAAGGTTTATCCTAATTACTGCGCCCAGATAGTCCACTTGCCTGTATCATTAAACTTTCTGACAAATACAGTGTAGACTGAATAGCATGCTGGCCACTTGAACTCTGAGAATTTAAGATTTGTCATCCAAGACATTCACATCATCACAAGGGACACCAATGCATACATAGCTAAAATATCATTAAGGCAGGATCAATGGTATGAAAATTATTGTAGTTTTATTTTCTGTAAATGTTAAGGCATGTATTATAAGTGCTGTTCAAAGTGTATTATTCAACACTTGGGGCCCATTTTAAAATTTTGAGCAACCAAAACTTTTAACTTTTCTTACTTTGTTACTTTAGATAATTGTAGATGTAGTGTGTAAAGAAGTAAGCATGACGACGCAAGCAAGAATATTGATCTATTCAAGTGGTTAGCTATTACTGAATAACACTTCAGTAATTCTGCTAGGTATGCCATACTCAATTTGGTATATTTCTTGTATGAAATTTATAAATTCTGAAAGTTATGTGTACTCCCTCTATAAAGAAATATAAGAGCGTTTAGATCACTAAAGTAGTGATCGAAACACTCTTATATTTCTTTACGGAGGGAGTAGTTGTTAAAAGTGTGATCATTGAATGGTATATCACATGGTGAGATCTATTCTTTTGCTCCCTTGTAGTTTGCTACTCCCTCCGTTCCTAAATATGAGTCTTTTTAGAGATTTCAATATGGACTACATACGGAGCAAAATGAGTGAATTTACACTCTAAAATTTGTCTACATGCATCCGTATGTAGTTTATATTGAAATATTTAAAAAGACTTATATTTAGAAACGGAGGGAGTATCAGAAATATAAGTTAGAAGAATGCTTGCATATTTATTTCCTTGCATTGAATAATTTTAAGATGGCATACCGACAAGTTTTGTAATGTCGTAAAAATGTTGAGCTCTTTTTTTCCAAAGCTAATCCATCTATTATATACAGTTCATTGATTCATTGGAATCTCCTCCCTCCCC